ATTATCTTGAATGGCACCACATAATAACCACAACAACATATCAAAAAGCCTAAAATATTATGACCAGCATGAATAAACAGATTGTTCCTGTCTATAAGCAAAGAGGCGATTAAGGTGTGAATATTTACAGAGGTCTGACTTTCATGTGCCTATAGGCCCTAGATGAGTCAAGTGCCACTGCCCCAGCATTGTCGTATCTCCTTACTCATTCCCAGCCTGCACAAGGGCTCCTTCTCATTCCTGTGTGCGTAGATGAAACTGAAGCAGCGCTTACACGTCTATAATGTCTGGTCTGGGTTTGGCACAGCACCGTATGGATAGAGATATTCGCATATCTTTTCTGAGCACGCTAGGATTCTTCAACAAGTCTTCAATGAGTCTTCAGCAAGTCTTCAACAAGTCTTCAACGAGTCTTCAACAAGTCTTCCACTAGTCTTCAACCAGTCTTCAACAAGTCTTCAACAAGTTTTCAATGAGTCTTCAACAAGTCTTCAATAAGTCTTCAACAAGTCTTCAACGAGTTTTCAACAAGTCTTCAACAAGTCTTCAACGAGTCTTCAGCAAGTCTTCAATGAGTCTTCAACAAGTGGGGGCACGGGTGGCCAAGTCGTCTAAGGAGCCGCGATTCGCTGTGCAGAGTTGCGTCCCTTGGGCACGCCAGAAACCTATGATTGTGGGTTCGAATCACGGTTCGCCCCGATTATGTTTCTAGGTTTGTCGGCACCATACCCGTGCTCGTAGGTTTCACCAAAGTGGTAAACGTCTGGGACCTGCATCACTTCGGGCTCTCCTCCAACATTAAGCTGACACACTACGATATAACTGGAATACTGTTAAAAGCGGCGTTAAACCCAACTCACTCACTCACTCACTCTTCAACAAGTTTTCAATGAGTCTTCAACAAGTCTTCAACGAGTCTTCAACAAGTCTTAAATGAGTCTTCAACAAGTCTTCAACAGCTACATATATGCTGCTGTTTATTTCATAGGCGTTAGGTGACAAACTCAAATAACTGCTGGCCAGGGTTAGTATGGTGTTTTCTTGGCTTTTGAAAATTGATCTTTGCAAACTTTTTTCTGTCCTCCTGAAAAGTTTAGTTCTAAGTTAAAAACAATTGCAAGTGTTGAACTAGAATGCCAGCTAGGTCCCTTAGCCTCATTTCAAATGGCCAGTCAGTACAACAGCAGCATGCATAGCTTCTATACGTAGACTAATAATTAGTCCTTGAAATATAGTTATCTTATTTTAAAATATATATCTACAAAATAATAAGTTAAATCCAAACAGAGCCCTGAACATTGATTAATTTCAGGGCAGACAACTAGACTTGCCAAATTATTCTAGACTTGGGTTGGATTCTGTTTTTAATGTATTCTCCAGGCTCTAGGAAACAGACTACTTCAAGACTGAGTGAGCTGGATTACCCTGCAGTCCTTGAGGCAAGTCATGGCGTGCCACCCAATGTGAGGCAGTCTTTGAGGCAAGACATGGCGTTCCACCCAATGTGAGTTTGTGGATTGAACTCTACGACATATGCAGTTTAGAGTGGCATTACTAGTATACACTCACTCACTCACTCCATGGGTAACTATCATATCACAGAACCTAAATGTATGCAGAACTAGGCGGTAATTAAGAATTGATTGCTTACAGAACAAATATCAGAAAACCAGTCAAGTCTTCAACGAGTCTTCAACAAGTCTTCAACGAGTCTTCAACAAGTCTTCAACAAGTCTTCAACAAGTTTTCAATGAGTCTTTAACGAGTCTTCAACAAGTTTTCAATTAGTCTTCAATAAGTCTTCAACAAGTTTTCAATGAGTCTTCAACAAGTCTTCAAAGAGTCTTCAGCAAGTCTTCAATGAGTCTTCAATAAGTCTTTGAGGCAAGACATTGCGTGCCACCCAATGTGAGGCAGTCAAGTCATGGCGTGTCACCCGATGTGAGGCAGTCTTTGAGGCAAGTCATAGCGTGTCACCCAATGTGAGGCAGTCAAATCATGGCTTGTCACCCAATGTGAGGCAGTCAAATCATGGCTTGTCACCCAATGTGAGGCAGTCAAGTCATGGCTTGTCACCCAATGTGAGGCAGTCAAATCATGGCTTGTCACCCAATGTGAGGCAGTCAAGTCATGGCGGGTCATGCAATATGAGGCAGTCAAGTCATGGTGTGTCACACAATGTGAAGCAGTCAAATCATGGCTTGTCACCCATTGTGAGGCAGTTGTAAAGTCAAGTCATGGCGGGTCACACAATGTGAGGCAGTCAAGTCATGGCGGGTCACACAATGTGAGGCAGTCAAGTCATGGCGTGTCACCGAATGTGAGGCAGTCAAGTCATGGCTTGTCACCTGATGTGAAGCAGTCAAATCATGGCTTGTCACCCAATGTGAGGCAGTTGTAAAGTCAAGTCATGGCGTGTCACCCAATGTGAGGCAGTCTTTGAGGCAAGTCACCCAATGTGAGGCAGTTGTAAAGTCAAGTCTAGTATTCAAATCCATACTGCACAGATATGGGTCATAACTCTAAAATGTGAATGTGTATCGCTATATGTCGGACAACTTGGCTTCCCATGTCGCTAAACCTTCAAGAGATGTGTGCATGCCACCATGACAGTTGAGGTGGGATGAAATAGTTCCAACATAAAGTGATATTTCACTCGAGTGAAATATTGATTTGATATTTTGGGATAAATACATTATTTCATCACTAGATACAAAATACCATGCCGTATTCACCAGGATGGGCTGCATATCACACCTATTCCTGGCTGCAGCTGCGTAACTAGTGCACTGACGTGTCCAGATGTTGCACAATGGTGTCAGCTTCATCCATGTCTCCATCAGTCATGATGGGGATCTCATTGGTGATAACTCAAGGCCGTAGTTAACTTTTTTTGACAGGGGGGTCAAATAAGATTATTCATTTCTTATTCAAGTTAACTTTCACAAGGAAAAATGTTTTCCATAAAAAATCCAGGGGGGGGGGGCAACTGCAACCCCTGCCCCCCAGGCTGGCTACGGCACTGTAACTGATTCTCACTGCGGATTCTAATGTTCTAAACAATGAGTGTATGGATCATGGAGATTTGGACCAAACACAGTTCTTGATATTGATAACCATCTTGATTCTCTAGTGATTTTGAAAATATTGTCATGTGTTTCTGTGTCCAGCTCACAAATCAGGTGAAGTAAAGCAACATTGGTTGTAGTTGAATAGGTGACCGCTTTGGGCATCCTGTCTGTTGCTAGGGCTTCCTTCCTGCCCCACACTGAAGCAGACGTACGAGGGCTGGTCAAAAAGTTCTAAGCCTGACTTACTTTCAACTGTGGGCCATAACACAGTGACCCAGTCAATGTAGTACATTGCTTGAGTATTTCATTGCAAGTGTACTTGGTCTGTTGAGGCCGTTTGTACATTAGTGATGTGGCCGATGTAGTTTTTGTATATTTTTGTTTTAATTTCATTTTAGGTTTTTACGTATATATATTATATATAATTAGTTGTCAACAAGTCGAACGTGATAAGGGTCCAAATGGACACAGAAATGGAACAAGAACGAGTACTGAGCAATCATCACATCTTTTTACTTTAGAGAATGGTACTCCCCAAGAAATTCATGACCACATGTCACAAGTTTATGGGGGCAAGTGCCCTAGCTAATACACTGTTATATGGATGTCCCATAACTTCCATCAATGAAGATTCAATCAAGAAGAAAAACTTATACTGTCAGATAGACGTATTACCATTCCAAAACTTGAGGAAGACACAGGACTAAGCCATGGATCCATTGAAACTATTATTCATGAATATTTACACATGAATAAGATGTCTGCTCGTTGGGTTTCTAAATTCTGATCAGATGTAAAGAAAGAACTGACATTTCCAGAGAAAAGATAGAGCTAATTGAGGGGTATTTCAATGTGGGTTGGAAGAGCTTCCTCACCCTCCATTCTTGCCAAACTTGGCACCAAGTGATTTCCACCTGTTTCCTAAACTGAAAGAACACCTTCGTGGAAAGCGCTATGATGACACACAATGACCTCAAAGCTTCCAGGGAGCTGAGAATGAAACTTGAGAGCACAGTGATCCATTTTGTAGCGCTTTGAACATGCTTCAGTGTGTGGATTGTAAACAAAAAACATTAAAACTAATCATTCATTTATAAATATCAAGCAATAAAAGTAGGATTTAGGACTTGTTTTTATGGCCAGAAAGGTTCTGTTTGATTCCACGCTGAAAGTGTATTATTGCTGGAGATTTGAACAAAACAAGTGAAAACCATCTTGATGCTTTACAGATTCGAGAAAATACTGTCACTGGTATCTCATCGTTCTTTTATAAATGTCAAGCAATATTAGCTCAGTATGATATAGGACCTGTTTGTATGGGTTGGACTCTGTGATGAAGCTGATAAGAACACCAAGCTCAGTGTGATGAGTAAATGTCAGGAGTCTACAACATGTACGTGAGGAGTGTGTTTATCTGTGTGGGGGAAGAAATCAGTAGCTTGCCTATAAACCATATTTTCATTTGAAAAGCTTGTGTTAGGGAAGATGATTGCTTACTTGGAAACGAATGCGATTAAAACATCTGGTGAGGTTTTGTAACTTTTTACGTAATACTCATCAGTACCTGCTCGGGAACATCCATTTGATGAACTGTCATGATTTGAAAAAAGAGAATTATGAAGCCCATGAACAACAAGTCGGTTTGTAGTTTTCTTTTTATGTCATGCTGTTCACACTGTTGATAGACAAAGGAAATGCATGTGTTGCAAGAATTTATGACCAAGAAATTAGATGTCCCTAACAAAAATGCCAGGTGTCCAATCTTGTAGAGCAAATGGATGTTAAAAAAGATAAGGATTCAAATAATGTAAGGATTCATTATGTAAGTTTAAAGAAAGCTTGGTAATGAGCCGAGAAGGTCTGAAACAAAAGGTTTTGGGGGGAGATATGCAAGGCTGTATGTACAGAGAAGCACTGGCATGCAAACATTTACAAGGGAGGGGTGAGATGTACCTGGCTGAGGTAGGGAGGGGTAAGATGTACCTGGCTGAGGTAGGGAGGGGTAAGATGTACCTGGCTGGGGTAGGGAGGGTTGAGATGTACCTGGCTGGGGTAGGGAGGGGTGAGATGTACCTGGCTGGGGTAGGGAGGGGTGAGATGTTCCTGGCTCGGGTAGGGAGGGGGTGATGTACATGGCTGGGGTAGGGAGGGGTTGAGATGTACCTGGCTGGGGTAGGGAGGGGTGAGATATACCTGGCTGGGGTAGGGAGGGGTGAGATGTACCTGGCTGGGGTAGGGAGGGGTGAGATGTACCTGGCTGGGGTAGGGAGGGGGTGATGTACCTGGCTGGGGTAGGAAGGGGTGAGATGTACATGGCTGGGGTAGGGAGGGGGTGAGGTACATGGCTGGGGTAGGGTGGGGCTGATGTACCTGGCTGGGGTAGGTAGGGGTGAGATGTACCTGGCTGGGGTAGGGAGGGGCTGATGTACCTGGCTGAGGTAGGGAGGGGTGAGATGTACCTGACTGGGGTAGGGAGGGGTGAGATGTACCTGGCTGGGGTAGGGAGGTGGTGATGTACCTGGCTGGGGTAGTGAGTGGGTGAGATGTTCCTGGCTGGGGTAGGTAGGGGTGAGATGTACCTGGCTGGGGTAGGGAGGGTTGAGATGTACCTGGCTGGGGTAGGGAGGGTTGAGATGTACCTGGCTGGGGTAGGGAGGGGTGAGATGTACCTGGCTGGGGTAGGGAGTGGGTGATGTACCTGGCTGGGGTAGGGAGGGGTGAGATGTACCTGGCTGGGGTAGGGAGGTGGTGATGTACCTGGCTGGGGTAGGGAGGGGTGATGAACCTGGCTGGGGTAGGTAGGGGGTGATGTACCTGGCTGGGGTAGGGAGGGGGTGATGTACCTGGCTGGGGTAAGGAGGTGGTGATGTACCTGGCTGGGGTAGGTAGGGGGTGAGGTACATGGCTGGGGTAGGGAGGGGGTGATGTACCTGGCTGGGGTAGGGAGGGGGTGAGGTACATGGCTGGGGTAGGGAGGGGTGAGATGTACCTGGCTGGGGTAGGGAGGGGGTGAGATGGACATGGCTGGGGTAGGTTGGGGTGAGATGTACCTGATTTGGGTAGGGAGGGGTGAGATGTACCTGGCTGGGGTAGGGAGGGGTGAGATGTACCTGGCTGGGGTAGGGAGGGGGTGAGGTACATGTTTGGGGTAGGGAGGGGCGAGATGTACCTGACTTGGGTAGGGAGGTGGTGAGATGTACATGGCTTGGGTGGGTTGGGGTGAGATGTACCTGACTTGGGTAGGGAGGGGTGAGATGTACCTGGCTGAGGTAGGGAGGGGTGAGATGTACCTGGCTGAGGTAGGGAGGGGTGAGATGTACCTGACTGGGGTAGGGAGGGGTGAGATGTACCTGACTGGGGTAGGGAGGGGTTGAGATGTACCTGGCTGGGGTAGGGAGGGGGTGGTGTACATGGCTGGGGTAGTGAGTGGGTGAGATGTACCTGGCTGGGGTAGGGAGGGTTGAGATGTACCTGGCTGGGGTAGGGAGGGGTGAGATGTACCTGGCTGGGGTAGGGAGGGGTGAGATGTATCTGGCTGGGGTAGGGAGGGGGTGATGTACCTGGCTGGGGTAGTGAGTGGGTGAGATGTACCTGGTTGGGGTAGGGAGGGGGTGATGTACCTGGCTGGGGTAGGGAGGAGGTGATGTACATGACTGGGGTAGGTAGGGGGTGATGTACCTGGCTGGGGTAGGGAGGGGTGTGATGTACCTGGCTGAGGTAGGGAGGGGTGAGATGTACCTGGCTGGGGTAGGTAGGGGTGAGATGTACATGGCTGGGGTAGGGAGGGGTGAGATGTACCTGGCTGGGGTAAGTAGGGGTGAGATGTACCTGGCTGGGGTAGGGAGTGGGTGATGTACCTGGCTGGGGTAGGGAGAGGTGAGATGTACCTGGCTGGGGTAGGGAGGTGGTGATGTACCTGGCTGGGGTAGGGAGGGGTGATGTACCTGGCTGGGGTAGGGAGGGGTGAGATGTACCTGGCTGGGGTAGGGAGGGGCTGATGTACCTGGCTGGGGTAGGGAGGGGAGATGTACCTGGCTGGGGTAGGGAGGTGGTGATGTACCTGGCTGGGGTAGGGAGGGGTGATGTACCTGGCTTGGGTAGGAAGGGGTGAGATGTACCCAGCTGGGGTAGGGTGGGGTGAGATGTACCTGGCTGGGGTAGGGAGGGGGTGATGTACCTGGCTGGGGTAGGGAGGTGGTGATGTACCTCGCTGGGGTAGGGAGGTGGTGATGTACCTGACTGGGGTAGGTAGGGGGTGATGTACCTGGCTGGGGTAGGGAGTGGGTGATGTACCTGGCTTGGGTAGGAAGGGGTGAGATGCACCTGGCTGGGGTAGGGAGGGGCTGATGCACCTGGCTGGGGTAGGGAGGGAGTGATGTACCTGGCTGGGGTAGGGAGGGGGTGATGTACCTGGCTGGGGTAGGGAGGGACGAGATGTACCTGGCTGGGGTAGGGAGGGTGAGATGTACCTGGCTGAGGTAGGGAGGGGTGAGATGTACCTGGCTGAGGTAGGGAGAGGTGAGATGTACCTGACTGGGGTAGGGAGGGGTGAGATGTACCTGGCTGGGGTAGGGAGGTGGTGATGTACCTGGCTGGGGTAGTGAGTGGGTGAGATATACCTGGCTGGGGTAGGTAGGGGTGAGATGTACCTGGCATGGGTAGGGAGGGTTGAGATGTACATGGTTGGAGTGGGGTGTGGGGATGTGTGTGAAGTGTATATGGGGAGGGGGTGAGATGTACATGGGTGGAGTGGGGATGTGGGTGTGGGTGTGGGTGTTGGTGTGGGTTTTGGTGTGTTAGATGTACATGGGGAGGGGGGGCGTCGCTATGTACAAGGTTGGGATGTACATGGGGAGGGGGCTTGAGATGTACATGGATGAGAGAGGTGAATGAATCAAAGGAGGGGTAGGGGGAATAGGTTCAAAGCTGCATCCAGTTATCTCACCTCCTTCTTAAAGTTCCTATCATCAACATTCCCCATGAGTCTAAAGGCCTGAAATTGACCCCCTGACAAGCTGACCATTAGCACTTGCAACTAAATACTCAATTTCCTGATTAGTTTCCTCATGTTCACAGCTGGCAGGCATTCAGTACTGGGTTCTCCCTGTTCCTAGGTCAGCTCTCAGGAGGGTCTACTGCATGTGTAGCTGTTCCCTGGGGGCATGTGAGGGACTACTGCATGTGTAGCTGTTCCCTGGGGGCAGGTGAGGGTCTACTGCATGTGTAGCTGTTCCCTGGGGGCAGGTGAGGGTCTACTGCATGTGTAGCTGTTCCCTGGGGGCAGGTGAAGGACAACTGCATGTGTAGCTCTTCCCTGGGGGCAGGAGAAGGACAACTGCATGTGTAGCTGTTCCCTGGGGGCAGGTCTTTTAGGAGGGACTACTGCATGTGTAGCTGTTCCCTGGGGGCAGGTCTTTCAGGAGGGACTACTGCATGTGTAGCTATTCCCTGGGGGCAGGAGAAGGACAACTGTATGTGTTGCTGTTCCCTGGGGGCAGGTCTTTTAGGATGGACTACTGCATGTGTAGCTGTTCCCTAGGGGCAGGTGAGGAATTACTGCATGTGTAGCTGTTTCCTGGAGCCAGGTGAGGAATTACTGCATGTGTAGCTGTTCCCTGGGGACAGGTCTTTCAGGAGGGACTACTGCAAGTGTAGCTGTTCCCTAGGGGCAGGTGAGGAATTACTGCATGTGTAGCTGTTTCCTGGAGCCAGGTGAGGAATTACTGCATGTGTAGCTGTTCCCTGGGGGCAGGTCTTTCAGGAGGGACTACTGCATGTGTAGCTATTCCCTGGGGGCAGGAGAAGGACAACTGTATGTGTTGCTGTTCCCTGGGGGCAGGTCTTTTAGGATGGACTACTGCATGTGTAGCTGTTCCCTAGGGGCAGGTGAGGAATTACTGCATGTGTAGCTGTTTCCTGGAGCCAGGTGAGGAATTACTGCATGTGTAGCTGTTCCCTGGGGACAGGTGAGGAATTACTGCATGTGTAGCTGTTCCCTGGGGCAGGTGAGGAATTACTGCATGTGTAGCTGTTCCCTGGGGACAGGTCTTTCAGGAGGGACTACTGCAAGTGTAGCTGTTCCCTAGGGGCAGGTGAGGAATTACTGCATGTGTAGCTATTCCCTGGGGGCAGGTGAGGAATTACTGCATGTGTAGCTGTTCCCTGGGGACAGGTCTTTCAGGAGGGACTACTGCAAGTGTAGCTGTTCCCTAGGGGCAGGTGAGGAATTACTGCATGTGTAGCTGTTCCCTGGGGACAGGTGAGGGACTACTGCAAGTGTAGCTGTTCCCTGGGGACAGGTCTTTTAGGAGGGACTACTGCAAGTGTAGCTGTTCCCTTGGGAAGTGAATAACTCTGTAACATTTTGAGTGGATTAAATGCCTTATTACAATATAACAGTTGTGCTAGTAGGCAGTGAGTTAAATTGAATAAAAATATAATTTTAAAATTTTAATATTGTTTTAAAACAATATTTTGTTTATATCATGGTTGTCAATTTCATGTAGGAGGAAATCTGAAAGCACCACAGATCAAGGACTTTTATGACTGTTGTGAAACTAATGAGAAAATATAGGGACAATAATCAAGGCCAACCTGGTATTTAAACCAACAACTAAGGGAGGCCACTCTCCACAGCGAGATGCATCTCCATCCCAAGGCCACCTTTGCCCCCAAATAAAAATAATATGGTGCAGACATCAACAGCAAATCGCACATGGATAAATGAAATATTGATGCTACAAATACCACAATAATAATCACATATCAAGAAAATAACGGAAAGCAAATGTGCCAATAATCCTCTAAGCATGGGATGGGAAGTAGAGACAATAAACACATGGTCCGAGATCGGGAAAACAATATGGCTGGTGATACATCATCTGAAAGCAATGGCTCCTGAATATGACCTTCATTCACGCCTGATGTCTTGTGGGGCTGGTAGTTAGCTGCTGGGTAATTTGTCCCCATGGTAGCTGTTAATCATGACCAACCATGTTTTGGATGTGTGATGAAAGAACAGTCTTGAGGTTGATGGTGAGGTTTATCATGTCAGACATACAGGCATGTTCTCTCTTACAGACCCCAGAGCGTATACTTAATAAAACAATCACCCCATTCCATTCTCTTCCCCTTCTCAACTCTAGCAGCCTATTGTCACCCCCTTCTCAACTCTAGCAGCCTATTGTCACCCCCTTCTCAACTCTAGTAGCCTATTGTCACCCCTTCTCAACTCTAGAAGCCTATTGTCACCCCCTTCTCAACTCTAGTAGCCTACTGTCACCCCCTTCTCAACTCTAGCAGCCTATTGTCACCCACTTCTCAACTCTAGTAGCCTACTGTCACCCCCTTCTCAACTCTAGTAGCCTATTGTCACCCCTTCTCAACTCTAGTAGCCTATTGTCACCCCTTCTCAACTCTAGAAGCCTATTGTCACCCCCTTCTCAACTCTAGTAGCCTATTGTCACCCCCTTCTCAACTCTAGTAGCCTATTGTCACCCACTTCTCAACTCTAGTAGCCTATTGTCACCCCTTCTCAACTCTAGAAGCCTATTGTCACCCCCTTCTCAACTCTAGTAGCCTATTGTCACCCACTTTTGAACTCTAGTAGCCTATTGTCACCCACTTCTCAACTCTAGTAGCCTATTGTCACCCACTTCTCAACTCTAGTAGCCTGTTGTCACCCACTTCTCAACTCTAGAAGCCTATTGTCATCCCCTTCTCAACTCTAGTAGCCTATTGGCATCTCCTTCTAAACTCTAGCAGCCTATTGTCACCCCTTCTCAACTCTAGAAGCCTATTGTCACCCCCTTCTCAACTCTAGTAGCCTACTGTCACCCCCTTCTCAACTCTAGTAGCCTATTGTCACCCCTTCTCAACTCTAGTAGCCTATTGTCACCCCTTCTCAACTCTAGCAGCCTATTGTCATCCCCTTCTCAACTCTAGCAGCCTATTGTCACCCCTTCTCAACTCTAGCAGCCTACTGTCACCCCTTCTCAACTCTAGCAGCCTATTGTCACCCCTTCTCAACTCAAGCAGCCTATTGTCATACCCTTCTCAACTCTAGCAGCCTACTGTCACCCCTTCTCAACTCAAGCAGCCTATAAGCATCCCTTCCCAGCTCTAGCAGCCTATTGGCATCTCCTTCTCAACTCTAACAGCCTATTGTCACCCCTTCTCAACTCTAGTAGCTTATTGTCATAATCTTCTCAACTCTAGCAGCCTATTGTCATCCCCTTCTCAACTCTAGCAGCCTACTGTCACCCCTTCTCAACTCTAGCAGCCTATAAGCATCCCCTTCCCAGCTCTAGCAGCCTATTGTCACCCCTTCTCAACTCTAGCAGCCTATAAGCATCCCCTTCTCAACTCTAGTAGCCTATACTCATCCCCTTCTCAACTCTAACAGCCTATTGTCATCTCCTTCTCAACTCTAGCAGCCTATTGTCACCCCTTCTCAGCTCTAACAGCCTATTGTCACCCCTTCTCAACTCTAGCAGCCTATTGTCATACCCTTCTCAACTCTAGCAGCCTACTGTCACCCCTTCTCAACTCAAGCAGCCTATAAGCATCCCTTCCCAGCTCTAGCAGCCTATTGGCATCTCCTTCTCAACTCTAACAGCCTATTGTCACCCCTTCTCAACTCTAGTAGCTTATTGTCATAATCTTCTCAACTCTAGCAGCCTATTGTCATCCCCTTCTCAACTCTAGTAGCCTATTGTCACCCCTTCTCAACTCTAGCAGCCTATAAGCATCCCCTTCCCAGCTCTAGCAGCCTATTGTCACCCCTTCTCAACTCTAGCAGCCTATAAGCATCCCCTTCTCAACTCTAGTAGCCTATACTCATCCCCTTCTCAACTCTAGCAGCCTATTGTCATCTCCTTCTCAACTCTAGTAGCTTATTGTTATAATCTTCTCAACTCTAGCAGCCTATTGTCATCCCCTTCTCAACTCTAGCAGCCTACTGTCACCCCTTCTCAACTCTAGCAGCCTATAAGCATCCCCTTCCCAGCTCTAGCAGCCTACTGTCACCCCTTCTCAACTCTAGCAGCCTATAAGCATCCCCTTCCCAGCTCTAGCAGCCTATTGTCACCCCTTCTCAACTCAAGCAGCCTATTGTCACCCCTTCTCAACTCTAGCAGCCTACTGTCACCCCTTCTCAACTCAAGCAGCCTATAAGCATCCCTTCCCAGCTCTAGCAGCCTATTGGCATCTCCTTCTCAACTCTAACAGCCTATTGCCACCCCTTCTCAACTCTAGTAGCTTATTGTCATAATCTTCTCAACTCTAGCAGCCTATTGTCATCCCCTTCTCAACTCTAGCAGCCTACTGTCACCCCTTCTCAACTCTAGCAGCCTATAAGCATCCCCTTCCCAGCTCTAGTAGCCTATTGTCATCCCCTTCTCAACTCTAGCAGCCTGTCACCCCTTCTCAACTCAAGCAGCCTATAAGCATCCTTCCCAGCTCTAGCAGCCTATTGGCATCTCCTTCTCAACTCTAACAGCCTATTGTCACCCCTTCTCAACTCAAGCAGCCTATTGTCATCTCCTTCTCAACTCTAGTAGCCTATACTCATCCCCTTCTCAACTCTAGCAGCCTATTGTCACCCCTTCTCAACTCTAGTAGCCTATTGTCATCCCCTTCTCAACTCTAGCAGCCTA